TGGTTTATAGAATCAGCAAATTGCCCCCAACAATCTGGGTCCTCATTTTACCCACCTTGGAGAGATGGAAGGCTGAGTCAACCTTGAGTCTGGTGAGATTTGAACTGCCAAATTGCAGTGAGCCATCAGTCAGCAGAAGTAGCCTTATAGTGGATGTGTCTTTGGAAACAAGTATATCCAATCTAATCTCTGAAATAGAAACTCAACCGGCATGTGATTTGACTCATAGAAAAACCACATCATTTCCTAACACCAATAAAGCTTGAGATCTGCCTTTGTTTCTCTAAGAATTCAAGATTGTGTGAGCGCGTCTTTTTCTACTGATTGTTTCTGAACGTAATTTTGTAACCAGGGGACTTACTTTGGAAACAAAAATACTAATAATTACATTTAACATTTAACAAGTATTTTTGCTCATTTGTTTTAAAATAAAATGCAGAATGGTTTCCACTTACAATAATCTCATTCTGATTCAACATACCATTGTTTAGAGTTTCTTTGCTTATGGCAATTGCACTTTTTTGACCAGCCAGAATTATTCAAGTGGCAATATCTCACACAGCAGGCTATATAGTAGATACAAAGACAGGCAATTTCCTATTTCTGAATTTTGCTTTAGGAATCTTATTGGTGTGTGCACTGGTTGTTTTATTTAGCTTTATTAGTAAGCCACTTCAGGAAAGCAGAAACAATAGCGGTTTGGTGTAATTAAAAGTGCCTTGTCATGAAATAAGAGAAAACAAAGGCATTATTTTTTAATGGACAATAGAGATGAAGTTTGTGTTTTGTTTCCTCGATAAACTAGGGAAGAAATGAAATCGCTCCAGGAGACTTTTCAAAAACAGCTTAATGAGGCAACGGAGAAGGCAGAAAAGCAGCAGGCCACAGTAAGTGACTTTCCTCTATTATTTTCATCAGTGTTTCCATGTCCCACCTTTACAAATAGGATTTGGCAAGCATAACAATTTAGCTTTCTTCTATTTTTGAATGTCAGCATCTTTCCATTCAATTCAAAAATGGGTGTCAGACTTGGTAATAGTTTTCTTTAAAAAAAGGAACACAACAAAATTCTCACTGATTCATGAACAAGCTCCTGATNTATAAATAAGAGATTTATTTATTATTGTGGATGAAATTTCTAATTCTAAAAATGTGATTAATACATACAAAAGAGTCCAAAAGAAACGAAACCAGTGAAAAAGTTTCACACTATGTATAAAATGAACCTTGGCTTGACCCTAAATTAGCTAAATATTGAGCACAAGTCAGAGAATAAAACAAAATATGTAAAAGGAGCTCCTTTCAAAGGTCTACACATTTTTAAGCAAGTAGAAAACTTTATAGCTCTGCTTTTAAAGATGTTTGGGAAGTTGAAAACTATATTGTGTCTGGCTGATCCATTCTTTCATAGGCATATTTTTATTTAAACAGAGAAACAAAATGACCATGGATGGGCAAAAAAAGCAGAATGGGAGCAACTTTCAAATTCCTGGTAGCTTCCCCATTGCTTGTGAGAAGTTGGCAGAAAGCATTGGAAATCACTCCTCCTTTTCCTTGGCTGACCTACAGATCTGCCTGCCACTTTGCTGGGGGAGGGGAAACAAAGGGACCTATGATTAATAAAGAAAACTGCATCCCCATCACCCATCTGTCATGTCCCCAGAGGCTCCTTCCTCTGGGAAGGAAGGGAACTTACCTGTGAACTGTGAGTGCAGCCCTGCCAGCCCTACTTTGCATGTAGGTATCTGAATCACTTCTTCATCCTTCCCTCACTACAAAACCACTATTAAAAGATTTCAAATTTTAGCATTTGTTCCAAAGCAGCCAACCAACACTTATTCACTGAGTTTTGCCACCAGCTGATTGGGTTCAGCAATGGGAGCAGGCACAACTTTCAACTTCCTGCCAGCTTCCTTATTGATTTTGCCTTTGAAAAGGCACTCCTCCTCTTTGTTTGACCCATGGAACTGCCTACCATTTTGCTTGGAGGAAAAGGAGCAGAGGCAGCCACGCTTCCCATTCCAGTATGTCCCCAACATGTCTCCATTCTGTGAAAAAGAGGGTTCACCTGTCAACCATTGGTATCATCCAACAAGCTCTTCCTTGCCAGCAGGAATCTATATTGCTCTGTCACCTTTCCTTCACTTACTACCATAATTAAGAAATGCCTTGGTTCCAAATCAGTCAATCATTGTTGCCTTGNATCTGAATAAAGCACATTGCACAAACAGCATTACAATAATATGCTGTACCAATTTAGCTAAAAAAATAAGATCCATTGATCTCGGTGGGCTATTTCTGAGTAGAGAGCTATACAGTTGCATTGAATGAAAATTACCAATGTGGTAACTGCAAGTGTTATTATTTAAAACTACAATTAGGAGAAGAAGGGAAAACTAAAAGAACAAGAACCTCTCTCCTGTGGCATTTAAGACCAATATCTTGATGGCGTTATAGGAAAAAAAAATATCAGCACACACAGTGCAAGGGTTGTCAGACTCCCTCCTTATGTGGGCAATAAGTTTGATGAAGCACCCCAAGCTTATTGCTGCAGCAATTCTGATGACTGAAATGAATTCAACTACCAAAGGTATTATAAGAAATATCCCTAAGATGCTTTAGAATAACCACAATAAAAATTATAATAATGTGTGGAGAAGGAGGAAACATAATTTTCCATTCCTTCTTCTCCCAGTGTTTTGCAGCAAAATGTAAAAGGCTATGTCACTAATTATATTTTGCTATTTTATCTTATCTTAAAACAGAATGAATTTATTTATACTCCCAATTTCACTCATAGGCCATCTTTCATATATGCAAAGATATAAAAGTATATATTGAGAACCAAATTCACACGATATACGAGGTTGTGTTTTATTTTCCACAATTTTGTTAAACTCTTTGGAAGCTGGATGCATCCATATGTAATTTCAGTCCAGAGAAGGACTTCCAAATGAGTGTTTTCAACTGTCTTGGCAATTAGCCTAAGGAATATATTTGCAGATTCAATAAAAATAACTGTATTTTTCAGAAACTTTAAGCTTATGGTATATCCAAGGAGGGAAAATTCATGGAAAAGATATTATGCCACATAGCCCTAGGAAAACAGGTATCTTTTTTCAAATGTTGGCATAACACTTATGCCAACACTCTCTGAATCTTCTGGAGTAGGGGTATCAAACTCATGCCATCATGGCTGTGTCATGTGACATATTGGGACTTTTTCCCCCCTTCGCTAAACTGGTTGTGGACATGGCCAGCATGTGATGCATCCGGCCCACGGGCTGGGTGTTTGGCAGCCTTCTTCTGGATCATAGTAATCAAAAGCACTGTTTAGACTGTGTCTTCTTGTCTATGTGCCTATCTCCTGTCTACAATTTAGTCCTTTCAGCTGTTCCAAGAAGATTCCACGCTATTTGNACTAGCCTGCAGTACTGCATTCTAACCATGGCTCATAAGATTGAGAATTTCTCAGAAGACTGAGAAAGGCTCCAAAACAAACTGAAATGGATCAGCATGGTCACATATCAGAAGTGACAGAGTCTCATTCACTTCCTGAAGAAGCTTTGAGAGGCTACTATGCTTGAAGCGTCATCCAACTGAAACTTAACACAGTTCTCCAAGACTAGCTTTATAGTGACACTTCTTAGAGAAAATACCCAGTTCTTAGGAGTGTTATTGAGCCAATTAAGTTTGTTTTGAGAAACTTCTACAAAACTTCTACCTTTGCTGTCACCAATCCATTTTCCTTCCATTATCCCCATATTAGCCCAGGATCTAGCTCTTTTCTTCCTGTTTCCACAAACTCAAATCCAGCCTTCCCTGTACAGGAATCCCCCCTTTTTTTCTTTGACATCCAACTTAGCATCCACTCTTCCTTTTTCATTGCCTTCTAAGATTCAGCTTTCCTACTGATTATTGTAGGGATAGACAGTGAAGAAGATTTAGGAGGGGAAGATGTAGGCATGATTATGTATAGGTTCTGACTAGGAATGGGTGTCTGTTCATTTGCATAAAATGTTGGATTTGGAGCATGGTGAATGAAAAATGAAGATCTCTCTTGGCTATGAACCCATTAGGTAAATTTGGATAGGACATTCATTATCAGCTTTTATCCACCTCACCTAAGATTGTTGAAATAGAATGAAAGGGATTCCCCCATGCTGTATATGGCACTTTGCATTATGAAGAAAAAGTAGAATAAAAATATAAATACTCTTGTACATTATTTTAGGAAGTCCAAATATGATAACACTATTACATCTTACAGTACACTGGAATTATTTTGGTGCAGGTATTTCAGTAGGAAATAAACAATCACTAAATGAATACTTTGTAAGCTGTTGGAAACATAGTGAGCATTTAATAGGAACAGATGCTCAGTTATGTAATATAGCAATAGCACTTAGACTTATATACCACTTCATAGAGTTTCTACAGCCCTCTAAGCAGTTTACAGAGTCAGCATGTTGTCCTAAACAATCTGAGTCATCATTTTGCCCACATCAGAAGGATGGAAGGCTGAGTCAACCTTGAGCCTAGTGAGATTTGATCTGCCAAATTGCAGGCAGCTGGCAGCAGGACTAGCCTGCAGTACTGCATTCTAACCATGGCTCATAAGATTGAGAATTTCTCAGAAGACTGAGAAAGGCTCCAAAACAAACTGAAATGGATCAG